CGGTTGGAATTATCAAAGGTTTTTGACACCTGAGAGACACCGTAGCAACTCCTTTGTGTTTGGAAGTGGGGGGTGGGGGAGGGGGGAGGACCAGGGAGGATGATTCAACCACTCAACCACTAGATGTCGCTGAAAACAAGAAATCCTACACACAAAATGTTGCTCTGAAGAAAACAGAAATCAACACAATAATAATCAAATAGACTCAGCTTGGCTTAAACAAACCACTGAACTTGACACTTTGTTGGTATTTCAATGGATTGTACTGTAGAGCAGTGGTTCCCAAACTTTTCAGCTTTTGACCCACAAAATAACAGCAGCAGAGACCCCCCCTCCCCCAACTATTTTTGCTTGATAAACATTCTTATCAGGTCAAATAAACAAGAGTATAGGAACAACATACATTGTGCTACGTTTGTCCATTTTAAGTACACAAACTTCATATTTTTGTAACAACAAAATACTAAAAAATATCATTAGTTGTCATTTTGCAGGGCCCCAGTTTTGGGAATCACTTCTGTAGAGCTACAATAATGTTATTTATTGGGAGATGCTGAGATATTTGTTGTACAGGTGTTTTTTTTTCTTTCTGAGGTGGGTAAAGTACCAAAAAAATTGTACTTAAGTAAGAGTATCAATACTTTAACATATTGTTACTCAAGCAAAAGTAAAAAATAGTCATCCAAGAAGTGACTCAAGTAAAAGTAAAAAAGTATTTGGTAAAAAGTCTACCCAAGTATTGAGATGAAGACGTCAATCGTTTTAATATTTAAAAATTACATCATCAGACTGGCCGTAATATAAAGTTAGGTGGAAATTTTAGTATTTTGAAGAAAAACAATGAAAATAATTTATATAAATAACATAATTGAAAAATGACAAATTCGGGCAAAAGAAACAAATCAGTTTTATTCTAAATGAAATATATGAAACTAACAAAACCAGCAGGTGTGTGTGTCTGCTGAATTATTGCTGAAAACAAGCTTGTTCTTCACCCATTGAAGTTACTCACAATGGGTAGAGTTTCCAGAAATTTTACTCAAGAGTAGCAATACTTTATGATAAAACCACTCAAGTAAATGTAAAACGTACAGCGTAGCAAAAGTACTCCTAAAAGTATTTTTTTTTTCCAAAAAGTTACTCAAGTAACTTAGACAACTTGTCAAATTTTTGAAGAATCTGCGTTGAAGGAATTAAAAAAATGAACTAAAGGCCTCCTTTAGGTGTGTACATACTGTCATAATAACTAATTGTTGAAATATATACAGCGGGTAAAATAAGTATTGAACACGTCAACATTTTTCTCAGTAAATATATTACTAGAGGTGCT